CGAGGGCTTAGATCATAGTCCGCAACGCTGGCAGCCTGCAACCAATGCGGGCTGGGGACTTCACAAGTTTTCCGAGGGTTGCGAAACTTCTTCAACGTGCTGAATCCATAACGATGTACTCCTTCGACACGTCCAAAAATACTCATTTTAAACATATGTTTATACCTACAGCGATGATCACCAATTATATTTTTCGTTATGAACACCAATTCAACTTATAAACTATTTAATGCTTCGTGAATTTTCGTATCGAAAAAAAATGTAATCAGCAACACAACGTAAATTTTTGTGTGAAACGTTTTTGTTTAACCACGGGTTTATAAAAAAAACAGCCCAAAGTTCGCTGTACAATGACTTCATCATTTCAGTTTCATAACTACGCTTTACTTATCCGGGTTCCTTAACCAGTCAAACCAACTAACTAATGTTTATTTAATAGTCTTTTTACGCGGTGCATGGTAGCCCAATAGGAGATCAGTTTCTTTTTCATCGTCAACAGTTCGACTCCAGCGGCATTTAGGTACCTGACATTTTTGAATCTAACTTGCGTGTATTTCATTTTTTTTAACAAACCAACATTTTGGGCTCTTTAGTAATCCCATCGCCACGGCTGAATATACATTTTTGAGATAGTGACCAATCGCGCGTCGTACTTATTTCAAAATGTTTTTATTTGTAAGGCTATTAAGGCTCGAATGTAGTTACTCGTATAGATATAATAAATTGTGTAACAGTGGAGCTCCAAGTGATAGAGTTCGTCCATGGAAGTATCGCAACCGTACCTATTTATTGTATTCCGGTTTTGAAGGGTTAACTTACGTCTCAGGGTGACGGGCGCATTGGCAGTGCCCCCCAGATCTTTGCGATTTAAAGCTCTGAGTGACACTGCAACTGTTAAGGACAGGTGTGTAGATTACAATCGAGCGCGCAACTTGTTCGTTAAGAAAAGAAGGTTAATAGTCCAAAAATCTTTCCCGTTTCTTCTTAACTGAGTAACTTTATTGACTACATGAATCACATCGCTAATAAAACTGGCAATTTATTTTTCAAAATGACTTTAGCAGCTACAATTATATTAATACAAAGATTGACAATAAAGAAAAATTTCTTCTACCAGACAGGACTCAATTCTCTATCAACTGCACTACAGATCGGGTCAGCTTACTTACTAATTTTTCATTTACGAAGTGTTCGTTACAGATCTTTTTATACTGGATTGTATCCGTAAGCGACATCTTTGAGAAACTTATGACGCTTTTCATTCAGCTGTCAGTCCTGTGAGAAATCTATGACGCTTCTCAATCAGCTGTCAGTTTGTTATCTCTAATTTAAGATCCGAATATAAATAACAACTCCAGGTCAATAAGAAATTGCCCAAAAATTAAAACCAAATCAAGCAATTAACGACCTAGTCCCAAGGTCGTATGAATATGCCCCTGAATTTCGCAATATGCGTATGTCCTTAGAAGTGAATGCAGAAACATCAAGTCATGTTACACCACTTCTTTAACCTTGAACCAGTTGCAACAAAAAACAAGAAACGAGTTTTAAATAACTTTATACTAAAATTACGACTAATTGTGTTATGAAATCGATTGACTAAACCAGTTTTATTATAACGATTATGGCATAACTTGAGAAAAGTAAGTAGGGAAAATAATTAGAAAACATTATTATTAGTTATTTTTAATAATAATAAGAATAAGAATAAGAAAAATTTATTGTGTTCGCCGAGACACATGACATGAATGAGCTTAAAAACTACAATGTTATAACATTTTAAACTTAAAACTATAACAAATAGACAAAGGAAAGTAATTTGCATACAAATGCAATTTACTTTTGATAATCTGAAAAATCACAATAAACACAATAATAAAAATAAATGAATGTCGCGGCGCACGCAAACGGGACTTGCTCAGCGTTTATCTACGGGCAGAAAATTCTACCTGTGGCGCTGGTTTTCAGCAAGCCCGATTGAGTGAAGCTCGGACTCGAGTGCAAACAATGCCTACATACATAACGTGTGTGTGGAAATGTAATACATAATATAATGAAAGTTGGTATGTGCTAAAATAATGGCAATAAATAAATAATGTGAATAAAGAAAAGAATAAAGAAATTTATTATTTTCTTTGATTATTGAATATCATGATGATTTTCATTTTATGTTTTGTGAAATTATCCCACTACTTTGTTATAATTATTAATATAAAGATCGAATACTAAGAAAAATTAATTTAATATTACAATTGTTAAGGCGACGACCCTAGGCAGCCGCTGGTAGCTGTAAAGGTACCTGAATGAGTGACAAAAACTTTCATAGATTTCTCACAGATGGCGCTACAGCAAAAAGTTGTTAAAAACCAAAAACAAAGATTTATAACAAGCACATATAAAAATTCCTAAGGTCTGCTGGTTCGTTCCGTAACTCAGTTGGGAGAGAGTCAGGCACAGTGTGCTGAGCGCACTGGTCCTAATCCAGCGATATGGAAAGAATTTTTCTTAGTGTTTGATCTGTGGATTATTAATTATTATTCCACAAGTTAGTCATAGTTTATAACATAAAGATCGATCTTATAAGAAAATTTTAAATTTTTGTTTCTTTTGTAACGTCGGTTTTATTGGCGTGTATAGAATCCAAAATCAATCCAAGAAATAACCTTGAATTTCAGATATTTTGAGTCACAACACCATTGTAATAGCAGTGCAACATAATTAGTGTTTCTATCCTCTAATCACAAAGCACACAACCACACATACGCACAATAATTAAAATATTAATGTAACCTGTACTTAACGAAGCGAAGCCACACTCGCACTTGACACTATTTTTTCACCCGCACTCCAATGAACTTGCACGTGGCAATCAAGTTCGTAACAGTGAAAGCTAGGGGGTATTATTGAAGCGTGCGAACTTAACTGTCACTTTCACTAATGAGGCGATTAGTATGAATGTGTGGCTTATGATTGGAAGACTATTTGACTAGCTACTTTGTATATGAAATAAAATTTATCAGACAACATCAAATACGTTGCTCTGATCCCAAAGTAACTAAAGCATTTGTATCGAGTTCTTAGATTTTCGCGATTGTTACACATAGGAAAGACATAACTAGTTGATGACTGTACCACCTCAGTCAACCGTGACCATGGGACCTGTAAAGGGCCCGAAACGTCAGTTTGTTTGAAGAAACAAATATACGCGATTTAAATCCGGAAAAATAGTTTCATTTCCTAAAGCATTTGTGTTATGGAAATCGGCAACAACGACGCTATCACAAACACCCAGACCCGAGACAATATTGAAAAGTGAGTTTTCTACATTGACTCGGCCGGTGATGGAACCCGGGACCTCAGAGAAGGCGACACTATAAAAACCTGTGTGAAACCACTCGACCACAGAAGTCGTCAAAATATTTGTTACATAATGAGATCTGACGGAACCTACCTCAATATCTATGCAAAGCGTACAATTATGATTAGAGCTAAATATTAGTTAGAAAGAGAGAGATAATCAATTTCGAAAGTAATAAAAAGTAATAAACTCCATTGCAGATCTTTCTAGGTTTACCGCATCAAGCACTTTAAGATACAATAATAACCCCTTCACTGCGCTTGCGCTTCCAATCTTAACGTCACGTCATCAGCTGGCGGCCACAGAAAGCGAAATTAAATATAATTTCTTTAATAAACGAGCTTCCTTTTTTCTTTCCTTATGAAGAGGGTTTTTGAAGACGAAACTATAGATAGTGAGAAACAAGTTTTAAGTTTAAATATGAGTGAGTAAAATTAAATGTGAACTTATGACCTTTATTTCTTGTGAGGTAAAGCAAAGACATCGAAAGTTATGCGGATGTTTAGTGAGAGCCAAATACCAAAGTGAAATATTCAAAATTTAAATACAGTTACAAATTTTGAAACAAATAAAATAAGTGATGCCTAAAAAAGACAAAACTCCACAGGAAAAACAATGGAAAAAAAACGATTTTCTGACTAAATGGATTTCCGTCTTTATGAATCATAAACGGATAAATTTTTTGTAAGTCTTTATCATACATAGTCTTTGAAAAATGAATATAATAATGTAAAGACAATATTAAAGTCTTAAAATAAATTATTGATATTGTTCCATATTATATTTGTTACTTATATAGTTGTTAATTAATTCATATTCGGTCTATGGCAGTTTATTTTTGAATTTCATTGTGTAAGAATGTATGTTTCAAATAAAGAATTCGAAAATTTTACAGATGTTAAACTTTAACATTTAGAAGTAGGGATGAGGCACATTATTTAATAAAATAATAAAAGTATAACGTCTGAAATTATAATTAAGTATCTGTATAGTTCCTGATATGTTATTTGAGCCGATTCGACATAACGGCATGTGTTCGGAGAAGAATTGAACAAAAGCGTCCATCGGATCAGTGAGGCACGTGCCATCCATATACTGTATGCATCTAGTATTGATACATTAAATTTTCAAGATGAACGGCGATGCTATATTGTTCAAATAAAACATTTATTTACAAAAACATTAGAATAAACGGAAGAAATAGTATTTCATACAAGTGTATACAATTTTGTAAAAAAATTAATAAATTTGTAAATACTCATCAATCCATTATTTTAGCTAGAACTGCATGTCTATTATGTTTACAAAATACGTACAATCTTGTAAAAAATGTAAAAAAACTATGGATAAAAGTAAATAATTTCTTAGAATATGTAGCGCAAATTCGACGCTCTCAGTTTCCTTTGCCTGACGGCAGATACCTATATCACTCACGTCCGTTTTCGCTAGGACCACATTTAGAACAATAACGGACGACAACTCTCGTGTAACATAGATAATGTCGAACTAAACATATGACGAAGAAACACGGCGGATGTCGATAGCATATAAATTTCATATTCTCTGAATTTCACCATTTCCACATTTTCAAATATTACTTCAAACATTATTGCTTCAACTAACTGCCTTCCTTCTCTTCCAGATGTTACATCTATGTTGGGTGTATTACTTCTCGAAGCTATCGGAGTTCGCAGATACAGTGTTCTTCGTGTTGCGGAAGAAAAAGAGCCAGATCACCTGGCTGCACCTGTACCACCACTCTCTGACGCCGTTCGAAGCGTGGCTGCTTGTCAAATTCATTGCTGGTACGTAAAATAATTTAGTTAGTATACGTTATTTTTATTCGTTTCCTTAACAAATAGCTGCCCCATAACCATTAGATAGAAAGTTTGGCATTAACTGTGAAATATCAAATCGCATGCATTTTCGAGAAGTAAGAATGATCTTCAGTAATTAGAACACAACAAACGGATCTTGAAAGGAGATTTCACTTTGAAAGTTATCATAGTCGTATTTAGTTAAATGAACAGGCCCCCAGCGACCAATTACAATAAAAAAATTACAACAATGAAATGTCGAAAATACTTAAAATTCAACTCTCTGCGTTCGATATACGACAAGAAAAATTAATTGTGTGTGCGTAAAAAAAACCATCAGAGGCAGTAGAATTTGATTGTTACAAGCGGATTATGAAAACGACTTAAGGCAACAATAGCTATATTCTGTTTAGATACAACAAAACGCTCATATGAACTTGAAATGACTGCCTCAGTGGCCGAACGGTTACCATGCCGGACTGCCACACAGAGGTCCCAGGTTCGATTCCCGGGCCGGGAGAAATGTTTATATGGCTTACATTTATTTCTCTCGTGAGTTTGGGTGTAATTTGTGGTTGTCTACGTGTGTGTCCATGGCACCCGCGATACAGGGTTTCCCTAGTGCGGGGCTATGTTGAGTGTGTGCGTTATTATTATTATTATTATTATTAAATATTACTAAGACATTGTTTTGCCACTGGAATAGCACATTTCGTTAGCACGTTTCGTTATTTTAGTCACAACGTACTTGGTCAGCTCTAGTAAGGTATTTTAAAATCGCTCACAAAGCACATAGATAAATGTAGTGTTGGTCTAGGAATACATCTGGCAAGAAAACAACGGCTTGTTTATGACAGTTCTACACACGGCGCAGTATTCGATCGTGTTTTACGCTCAATTAAAGCGCTTGTAATGCATTGTAACATGTCACAATTAAACGGAATTTTATTTTTTTGCTAGTCCACCACACTATTGCATAACATAAATAATATACTAATATAAATTTAATATATTTACATAACTAGAACGTTTAATAACAATCAAAGCATTGGCAAGTCATAATGACTTTGTATACAATAGGACATATTTTTCTCTCGAAAGTTTCCAAACGTCGACGCCTCACCAAAATTTCACATTACCGTAAAAACGGTGAATTAAAATTCACCTTTCCTTGTTTACGAGCTACAAAGTTCCGATTGCAAGACAGATTGATTGCTTAATTTAAACCAAGCGACGTTTTTTTACCTTTTTGATGAACTTTGGTATAATAACAGATTTTTACGATAACTTTTTGACTTTTCGAAGCTGTATCTTTAAAATATTAATTCATAAATTTTGTAACCTATACATTATATACTAGACCAAAAATGTAATTAGTTTTGAAAGGAAAAAGAATAAAATATAATCTGAAGAGTGATTTTTTGTGAACACACAGACGGGGTAATTGGTTCTAAATCTTCTTGTTTCTCCACAGGCGGTCACGGAACGTTCTCGAACATCGTGAATAACCTGGTCCACATCATCATGTACAGTTACTACATGATGGCTGCGATGGGTCCTCAGTACCAGAAGTACCTCTGGTGGAAGAAGCACCTCACTACATTACAACTAGTAAGTACCTTTGATTTTTATCCACACGCCATTCTAATGATGTTCAAGATTGTCTTACAAGGGCGCATGGCCGCGTGGCATTGAATTTTAGTTCAAATAGTATTGGACAGGTTTTAAAACAATTAATTATAATATCTATCACGGCATTTTAAAGTTAATAATTACGATTAAATATCTGCAAAAATTTTACCTTTTTGTAAGAATGTTACAATTTCGTGAGTTTTTATGTGTTTCTATATACTCTGAACTGTGTATGATATTTACAAAATGTTTTTCAAGTAATTAATTTTATGACTTTAAACAATTCATTGAAGCTTCTGGTGGCAATTGGCAGCTACTTCCGCTAAAGACTATTCGCCGTAATATATAGAGGTAGATCCGCCATCCATTTTATAAGAATTTAAAAAATAAACACAGAAGTCATCGATTTTAATCATAATAATAAAAAAACCGTGTATAAAACTCACACGTTAATTTAAAATAGCCTTTAATAACACATTACATAGTTACACGTAAGATATTAAAATGTTTGTAAGGCATAAACTTTATATTTATTTACAAGGCAAATAGGTTGGACAGATAATTTTATCAAGGCAACACGTACACAATATTTATTTTGTAGTTTTTTTTAGTTTCAACATTGTTATTTATTGAGTGCAGAAACCTTTCCAGTATTAATATTCCAATATGCATTCCACTGCGAACACTTCTATGTGTATTTGAAACTCTGAACAATGAAAGATTAGAAAGAAAGAAAGAAAGCTGTTTATTGTACAAACACAGATACGCATATATATAAATTAACAAAAAAATCAGGAATAATAATAATAAAAAATAAGAATATTAAAACTATTTGTACGATTTATGCAGTAATTTACCGTAATGCGTATCGCGACTGGTAGAATCGGGCTATTGCTCAGAGTAGGCCACAATTAGCAAGCCTGGGGCTTGTGAGCCACTGACAGCAATGAAAAAAATTATTATTAAAATTTATTTATTTAAATTATTTCAAGAAATGCACTAGAAATTTGGTCCCTTACGATGTCTATAGTATATTGCGAATGCCGCACCACTGACGGAAATAGAAGGAAGGAAGCAGATCTAATTACTTACTTATTTTCTAGAAGACGAAAAATTAATAAAATAATAAACTTCGAAAATTCAAAATAACGAATAATTTTAATTTAAAAAAAAACAATGGCGTAAAATATAATACAAGAAATTCGATAAAGTATACAATATACAAATGAAAGTAAAATTATCAGCTATTTTACCCAACAACAAAATATTACTCTCGTGGTAATGCACTCCAAAAATATCACATAACATGGCGTAACAATGTAAATCAATCACAAAATAGAATCAAAACGTTTTACTGCATAGACTCATGGACATCCCCAGTTAATAAAAACAGTATTTCTCAGCTCTTAAATAATAAAAAATGTTTATTTAAGTTTTTCTTAAATTTTTGGTAGAAAATTGTGCAGATTTATTTTCATACGCATGATTCTTACGCGTATTTATAATTGTGCATCAGATATTTTTTCCTTTTGTTTTTCTTTTTATATAGCCACGCACTAGGGAAACCCTGTATTGCGGGTGCCGTGGCATGAACTCACACACAGACAACCACAAATAACACCTAACCTCACGAGAGAAATAAATGAAGGCCGTACAAATACCTACTACTCCCGGCCCGGGAATCGAACCCGGGACTTCTGCGTAGCAGACCAGGAAAATTAACCGATTAGTACCGTAATGTAACAAAATAGAGTCGGAATCATGTATTTTCTTTTCATGAATAACGTAGACAATTTAAGAAAACCTTTTTATTAACCATATACCTACTATACGCGTTGATCTCAAGTTTAACACTTGGCTTACGGTAAAGTTGTTATTTATAACTTTATTCGTCAGAGTTGTGGTGTTTTAGGCATTGTATAATCGAATGTCATTTGAAATAATTGTAAAACAATGTAATATTTAATTTGTTTCATTCAGGCTTCACTACTTTCATTGCTACATTGGTTGGTAGACTGCAAACAGCAAACGCGAATCCAAGAAGCATTGCACGGTCTACTTAATTATTCTTGCCAAATAATCGCAAACCTTTCTCAACTATTGCCAAGTTGAATTACATTGCCATAGTTTCGAAGATCATCTGAGAATAATTATTTAAAATTAGCGTGAAGATTTTATCCGTTTTACAGGTTTTACGTATCATTGCGAAAACAGCCGTAAATATTTATACGGCAATGAATTGTTGTAGTTAATAGAATCACTAAAAGAATATATTGCAATATGTGCGTATGTGTTTTATATTAAAACTAAGGATAAACGAATTGTAAACACAGAAGCTGTAGAGCTCCTCGTGAAGGAGTTTTTTTATAATATCAAGTGACGGGACGAACAAGTCGCGCGCCTGATGGTAAACTATACGCCCGTCCATAACAGTTGCAGTTTACACTCAGAGTCTTAAATCGCAAAGATCTGAGGGGACGCCCGTCACCCTGAGACATAAGTTGACAAGTCCCATGTGCCTGTAATGTCAACAGCATCGTTACCCTTCTAAACCGGAACGCACTAATATTAACGTTACTGCTTGGCGGCAGAAATAGGTAAGGACAGTACTTCCTAGGACGAACTCTTTCACAAGGAGTACTGCCACCCTACCTATTATTACTTGGTCATTTTCGGACTAGAGTTCACTATCTAATTTTCGTGGCAATTTTTGTTATTTAAGTATTCGATTTTTTATCGTACAATATTATTTAGGTATATATTAAATTCAAGTATAGTATCGGGAAATATTATTTAATAAACAATAAGTATTATAAGTATTTATATTTAAACGTTCTCAGTGGCCCAGCGAGCGCTAATATGAAGAGCGCCGAGAGAAGAGAAGGGTTCGATTATCAATAGACCAATTTGAGAAATTAACTTTACTGAATTGGTTCTGGTTTAGGTGCTCTTAAGTAAAAGTTTAAAGAATTTAAATGAGTTCGTCCAAGGAAGTACTGCCACCTTACCTATTTCTGCCGCCAAGCAGTAGTAATGTGAATATGTTGGCATTACTGCGTTCTGGTTTTGAAGGGTGCTGGTAAAATTACAGGCACGTGGGACTTGTTAACTGTTAGGGACCGGCGTCTAGCTTACAAGCAGGCACACGATTCGTTCGTCCTGTCACTTGATATTATAAATATAAAGGTAAACTTGGTTACTCTGGTATAGTACATGGAATTACTTAATTCTGGATAAGGTAGTTGGTGTAATTGCTTGGCACATTATAACAAAAGGAACTTCTGCAATGAACTAAATATAAAACTATCCAAGTGCAAAAATGTGAACACTTAGTCGCCTCTCACTGGAAGTTTCCTAAACATTGGCAATCAACCTGTTTGAGCAAAACATCGGCCAATAAGGATCGACTGCGCATAATTGCATTTGCCACCGCGCCTTGAATTCCGTAGGATCTGCTTGCGCAACTGCAGATATACTCTAATCATTGCTATATGTTTAATAATAATATGATTATTTATTCAGATAACTCAATTTTTTTAAGGTCTCTAGTAGTGTTAGTAACTTACAAAATATAACTTAAAGACTTGAAAGAGACTAGAAATTATATTTCAAAATTTATTAGAATTCAAACTAGATTCGCTGATGAACTGACCTCCTGCTGTTGCACAAAATAGTAAATTCCAAATTAGATACCGATATAATAAGCCATGTTTCGCGAAGGTCACTAATACGTCTAATCGTAGACAACATTTGCCTTCTGCTAAAAAATAATGTGTAACATAACAGCCCTCTCATACGTTTATGGAGGCAGTATAATGTTTTATGTAAAGATCTTGATATATTCTACCAGGGCACCAACACATTTGTAAAAATTATAAAAAGCACGGACTATAAAGAAGCACGTAAACATATCACAGAGTGCAGTAATTTTATTTAAAGTACCTATACACATTTTCTATTGACTTAGCCATATTCATTAAGTTGCAAAATGTTATTTGCACATTGTGTGCGGTTGTTATAGAGATACAAATTTGTTTGTTTCTAGTTAATGTCATAGTTGTACTTGTATAATTTGTATCTTGTAACAAAATAAATAAAAAAAGACTAGGTTAGGAATAATAATAGATAGTCGCACAAAGATTCAATTATAAAAAGTGGCAGCCGACTCTCAGATCTCTCACCCGCATCCAGGCCCAATAGTCTCTTGTGAGACTTCTCAATCAGGACCCGAATGAAAGATTTCATAATGGGTAGGTCATATCTATCAGGTATGACCTGTGAAATGGTGTTGCTCAGTCTACTGAGCAATGGGGCTGTCTTTTTGCGGGTAATGGCATTGAAACAATCAACCCGCGCCTCTGCAAACATTCTAAACCAATTATTATATGTGACTCGTAGGGCACTAAGCGGTTTTTTAGTATAACTGGAACACAGGCTGCTCGTGTAGAACGATTAGCAGTAGGCTTTGAAAAGTGTAATTTTTGCTTGCTTTTTACATCAAGCGAACCTGCGTGCCAGCATATTACTTCTGATCGTCAGAGCCCTACGTTCCCTCTCTATATCGTGGTCATCAAGGTCGTCGGTAACATAATGCCCAAAATATTTAAATTGGGAAGGTATGTTTACACAACCTCGTAACTCTCTACACTGGATTAAAGGACACAGCGACTCACTTGGTAATGACGCAGCAGATGAACTAGCCAGAAAAAGTTCGGATACGGACGCTGTAGGAACAGAACACATAGTGTCTCTCTCCTGCCAATGGTCAAGAACAGCTATACACAAAGGGAAAATGTTCTCATAATAACACATGGACAACCCTTACGGCTTCTAGACAGGCGAGGAAGCACTCCCAACGTTCAACGCCAGTCTGTCTCGAAAGTTAATCAAACTTAAAAGGCAAGAGCTTCACAATCTAACTGCCGCCCTAACAGGTCATGGTCCACACAATAAACACCTTTTTAATTTAGGTATCACAG